CTCTTTGTGAGAGACAAATGTCCCTGGAGTTGGAAGACCAAGGGCTATGAATTGACTAACCACCCACTGTGAAATGTCTCTGACCTCAAGCAAAGGGGAACAAAGAACCACCTTGTTTCTGTTTCTCTTTGCTATGTACTTAATGGTCAATGAGCTAATCATAAATGGGCTATAAAAATGTGTCAAAATTCTAACCCAGTTTCACAGCTTTGCAAACTCTACCTGCACTCTGCCGTTGGTGCCAGCTTAAATAAAAGCACTTCTTTTTAAAAGACTTAAATAAAAGACTTAAATAAAAGCTCTTCTTTTTAAAAGTTGCCCCCCACTTCTTGACAACAGCTCAGGGCTTGTTTTTGGGGTACAACACAAACCACGGCAGCATGTAAATTGTGGCCAGTTCAAATCACAGCACATGACTTTATGCCATAAAAACAGTAAACACAGTCCCATGTGCAGTGAGAGTGCATAGCCTGACTTTCCATTTCCACACAGGAACTTGAGGATACATTTCTTTTTTTTTTTTTTTGACATTAAATAAATTTTTATTTAAGAAATTTCAGGTGATTTCTGTAATATTCCTTAAGACCACTCAATGAGATTGTCATCTTCAAGATAGCCCTTTTTAAAGAAATTTGCTTCTTAATCCACTCATTCCATCACAATTCTTTTATCTCCAGTTGAATTATGGACAGTGACAACTTCAGAACTCCTGGGATCTTATCATCCAATTTCTGCTGGCAATCTGTATTTTAGGAGTCTAGAATTTGAAGTATACATAGTATTGGTATTTTGTCACATGATCTAGATTCTATATTAAACATTCATTTATAATATTGAAGGTCAGTATTTTTCAGTAGTAGGAAAGATGTTACAGGTCTCATTATCACCACTGTAAACATTTACTGTGATGGAAACATGACCTGTGACAATTTCAGTCACATTGACCAGTTTTGGACACTGATCAACAGTGCCCATTCTAATCTAGAATGAGGATTTGGAGGATACATTTCAACGTTTCCAAAAATACCCACCTTTTGTGCTTTGTGGTTCCTTACCTGCTGGCCCTGCCCATCTTCTGTGTGCAGGGAGCTGTGGCAGTGACGGGAGGGACAGAGGCTTGAGCAGCGAGTCCCAGTGACCACACTGGGCTCTGCCCAGGGGCAGCATCTCGAACTCACAGTGACTGACACAGTCTGACTCCTTAACCAATAGCTTTCACATCTGTGGTCTCCAGTTATTTTCTCAAGGACCCTGAAGAAGTTTGAGTTGCATATTATGGGTGAGAAAGCAGAAGCTTAGAGGAGCTGATGGGACTGGCAACAGCCTCACAGTTAGTAAGGAAAAACCAAGGACCCAGAGTGTCTAAGGGTTTGCCCTGGGCTTAGGGGAGTCAGGCAAGAAGGGGTCACTGAAGAAACAACAGCATGTGGCTGGGCTGTGGGCTCTAAGGAGCCAGGGGCCAAGTGGCCCTTTGGTGGCTGCACTAGGGTAAAGGCCAGAGAGCCCACATAGCCCACAGTGCTGCCAAGGATTCAGGGCACCCATGTTCCTCAAGCACCAACAGAGGCTCTCTATTCATCCACAAAAGAGAGGCCCCACATACACCAGCACAGACACAGGATCTACACACATCAGAGAAGACCTGTCCCAATCTGCAGGTCTGACAGCACCTGTCCCTTGCTCACTAGGCTCCCCACCCCACCACGATGCTGAGTCCCAGCAGGGAACCAGGAGACAAGAACTGCCCATTAGAGCAGCACAAGGGATGCTGCCTTCTGGAAGGGCCAGAGTCTGGCCAGCCTCGTGCAGGTGGGGGGTGGCTGTGTTCCCTGGTTGAGAATCTTGTTCCTAGTCCCAGGTCACCAAGTTGGGGTGGAAGTGGGGCAATGCCCCATCACTGAGGCCTGTGGATGACCCCAGGGAGCCACCATCAGATCCAGACTCCTTCCTGAAGTTTCGCCTGCTGGATTCAGGGTGAGACAGGTCTTTGGAGCACTCTGAACCTCAGGAATGGCGGTGTGGCCAGGTGGCTGGTTAGAATGGTCTAAGAGAAAGAAAACAAACAAAGAATCTCAGAGGTAACAGCGAGGGTCCGGACACTCCATGTCACTCCCTGCCAGGAAACACTCCTTGAAACAGTTTCCTGCCAGGTAGGAAATGATAGGGTTAAGGCCCTGTCGCTTATTGCTCACGAGTGGGGCCACCAAGTTGCTTGTTGTTGCAGACAAGGGTGTTTAAAACACCCAAGGTGGCCTAACCCTCTTCTAGATGAAGCTGTGCTCAATACCATTTCCTTGTAATGCTCAGTTGTCCAGCCCAGAAGCACCTGCCTGTGTGTGCAAACCCACACTGTCTGAGGAAGCCCATGTGTGATGCTGAGTCTCCCCAGTTCAGTCCCCTTGCCACCTTGTTTTATACCATTCAAGACTTGCCGAGACATAATGCAGACATGACTCCAAGCTGTGTGTGGGAGCACACACACACTCACACACACACACACACACACACACACACACACACACACACACGCACACGCTACTGCCTTACAAGCTAGAAAACTAACACAGGGCTCCTGAGGCTGGGTGAGTAAACATGGGGCTGATGGGATTATCTAGCCCCTACCATCACTGATGCTCCCCAACAGGTGCAGGAGGTGAGCCTGGAGCAGGGCTCCTGGACCCTGAGCACACAGCTGAAACAGCCCTGGCCAGAGTGGCACAGCTTACACCTCATTCAGTGGTCAGTTGGGCTGGCGGAGCTGCCCCCAAAGTCAGTGTTTCCTGGGAGCCATAGGACTCGGATTGGGGCTGTGCCAATTGGGCCCTAGAGCTGTCTGCCCACAGCGGTGGGGTCCCCACTAGAACTCACCAGGTCAGACTTCTGTCCCAGCCATGGAAACCCAATAGTGCATGAGGGAGAGGATCAATGCACCCCACTCTGTGCTGGCCCTATGCCCATGTCCATGTCCAGCTGACCCTCCATGCATTGCCTGTCAACAGTAACCTTTCTCAGTTTGGATAAAAATCACAAACTGGCAAAGTGTGGCTGGGTGGACGGTAGCAGCCCCAGGCTCTGAGCACAGCAGCTCTTAACATTGAGAGCCTCACCTTTGAGCTGTGACTGTCAGGGCCTTTTAGCTCTTAGTGTTAGTATCCAGGGCTTCAGGCTGTGGAGGTCAGCTCCTCGGTGGCAGGGCTCAACACACACTTAGCCGCTTTCTAGAGCTTTTCCAGTAGCTTCTGCTGCTTCTCTGGGGCTCTTACACTGGTCCACACAGGTCACCCGTGTCCACTGCAATCTGGGGTTCTCTAGGGTCACAGGACCCTAGCATTACCAGCTCTTTTCAGTGCAACCCACTCATCTCATCCTACCTGAAATAAGAATCACACACAGATACAGGGTTTACTCATGTGAGGCCCTTACTGGGACCTGTGATGCAGCGCAAGCAGGTTTGGCGAGGGGGGACCCTTGGACAGATGGAAGGAGGGCCCACACATGCGGGTTTACTGCTCACAAACATTTTAGGGGCCAGATATCTCTTTTATGGGTATTTAGAGATTACAGGACAGTATCATCTGGGAAAGATTAGAGTTTGAAGCCTGTTGCAGCCAAGACTCATATCTCCGGGAACAGCTAGCTGTGGGCTTTAGGATGGCCTCGGTTGTCATGGTGACAGCTCAGCAAATAGCAGGAGGAATGGCCACTTGAAGGACAGCTCCTACATTTCCATAGAAACAGCAGGGCTGAAACAGTGTTTTCTATTGCTTTCGCGAGGTTTCCAGGAAGGGTGGCCAAGTTGACCAAGCCCATTGGTGTGTGAGGATTCCAGGGCCCCTGTGAGACACAGCGCATGCCCAACGCAGTGGATGGTACTTTGCTGGGCATCCAGGGAGGGGCTATATATAGGAGGGACGTGGCCAGGTGCAATGTGACAAGGGCAGAGTTATGAATCAGGGCTTATGGTGTGGCCTCCTTGGGAGTGCACACGTCAGAGGCGGATGTCACAAGAGGGTGTGTGGCCAAGAAGGCCTCAGTAGTCTCCCAGGGAGCGAAGGCAGAGCTCCCCTCACATGACCTGGCCTTGAGGGTACCCTCAATCTCTGCCAGGCATCTGATGTTAAAAAGCTACTAGAGTGTTCTAGCTGATGACCCTGGGTAGAGAGCCCTGGTCTGTCCTCCCAGAGCCCTCCAATGTGAAGTCCCCACTGTCCAGCCCCAGAACTATGCTTTCCTCTCTCTCCTTCTGCCTCAGCCTCTGGCTGGTGGGGAACCGATTGGTCCTTACCTATGGGTTGGAGCCCAGCCCTGTGGGCCTCAAATCCCCCTCCCCATCAACGCCTCTACCTAGAAGTGTCATGGGGCTGGGCCTTTGGGTCCTTTCTGTCCACTTCCCTGTCCACACCCCTGCTTGCTCAGAAGCCCCCCAGGGACCCCACACACAGGCAGAGTCAAGGAAATGCTGAAGCTGTTTATTAATGCAGAACTGGGAGAGAGTCCAGGGAGGAAGGCTGGGAGGCCTGCTGGCCAGGAGGGTCTCCTTCCGAGTCCCCAGGATGGAGGTCTCAGTGGTTCCGCCCGGGGCTGCTTCAGAGCCGTGTCCACTGGCCTAGAAAGGAGGGAGGTCAGCAGGGCCAGCCAGGAGAGGAGCAGGGGACTGCAGGGGCTGATGGTGGCAGTGAGGGGCTCCTCCTCCAGGGACCAGAGCAGAGGTGGAGGCTCCTTCCTCAGCTGCCCATGTCGGAAGATGGCACAGAGACTCCCACCAATAGGGTGACAAGGGAAAGATGGGGTGCCCTTTAGTGTCTGCTCTGCTGCACCTGGCCCAGAGACCTCAGAGAGTCTCTGAGCCCCTACTTTGCAAACATCACACGGCTGGGGGCCCCAGGAGCTCTGAGGTCCCGTGGCCTTGGTGCAGCAGGACTTTAACGCAACTCATGGGGTAAACAGAGTTACTGGGACCCCTGAGGACAGAGGGGGCTGAGGAGGAGTTTTCCACCTGCTCACAAGGTGGGCATGAGGGATGCTGGGGAGGAGGGACAGGGACAGTGTCTCCTCAGCAACCTCAGGAGCCTGGGGGATGGCAGGTCCTCACCGCCCCCAAGTGAAGTCCTGGGGTGGGGGAAATCTGAGGCCAGTGCCCTAGCTGGGGATGACCCAGGGCCAGATCCCACCCCTCCAGCCATGGGAGTCTCTCCTCCCAGACAGCAGCAGGGCTGGGGGAGGTGGACCATCAGGGACCTCCCATCAGCCTCAGGAGCTCCAGGGTCCCCTGAGACTCACCCTAGGCGCTCCCTGGAGAGCAGGTTTCTGTTGAAGAAAGAAAGCCAGATTCAGGGGACCCCAGGAATTGCACAGGACCCCAGGGGCCCTGCATTGGTCAGCATTTCCCACCACCCCAGAGAGGGCCAAGCCAGAGCCAGCCACAGCCTGTTCCGTGGAATGGCCTTAGTGACTCCCGCTGCGGGGCGGGGGATGCAGGTGGCAGGTGCGTCCTTCTCACCGCTCTGCTTGGGGATGAAGATGCTGTCCAAGTGAAGGCCTCTGGATTCTACCACTGTCTTAAAATCTGCCAAGGCTTCCTGGTGGGCTTCGGGGTCTTTGCCTGTGGGGTAGGCCGAGGCCAGATGGGAGGGTGAGGGGCCAAGTTGGGGAGCACCAGCAGCCTCGGGGTTGGGAAGGAACCTGGAGCCACAAGGCCTGAGCTGGAGGCCTGGGGCATGAGAGCCTGGGCAGAAGGAGAGCCTGGGCAGGATGGGGGACCAGGGCCCTGGGTGGGAGACTCGGGAGCTGCTCACCTCCACAGTGTGGGCTCCAGGGCAGCAGGGCCCATGCAGGACCCACGCCATCCCCGGAGCACATCCACGCTCCCCTGCTCTGCACCCACACCCTGGCTAGGGAAGAGCTCAGGCGCCTAAGCTTCCCCTTCAGGTAGGCGTGGCACTGCACCTTGGGCCCCAAGCCTGTCCTACTCCTTGGAACTCTGCTCCCAAGCCGCACTGCAGACACCCTCCCCCTTGGGCCTTGGCTCATCCTGTGACACTGGTGACATCTGTGTCCTTGCACCTCCTTCCTCCTTCACACCGCAGAGACCTAGACGGGGATCCCAAATCTTCGCACAGCCCGTGCTAAGGATATTGCGCATGGGTCCCAGTGGCTCCTCCTGGGGAAGACGGGGAAGGGCTACAGCTAGAGGCTGCAGGGAACCAGCGACAGGAGAGGTGACTCACCTATAAGCTGGACCATTCGGCGACGGTGTCTGGGCCACTTGTCCTCACTGTAGAAGATGTAGTGGTCCTGCATGGATGAGGGAGTCACGAGCACCACACGATTGCCCCGAACTGCAGAGGGACAGTGACAGGTCCTGAGGAAACCACCTGATCCTTCAGCAAGGGTCTGAGACACCCTGGCACATAGATGGTGAAACCCCTCGACTGTCCGCCTGCCCAGCTGCCCCAGGATCCCTGACCCAGGTTCCCCAGCTCTGACGCCAGGCTGTGGAGGCCACAGCAGTGCCCTGGGAGGTGGTCACTTCCCAAGCCAGTGAGTAACAAACAGGGCAGCTTGTGGGGCTGGAGCTGGTGCCTCGGTCCCTTCCAGCCAAGGCCAGCTGTGCTCCTGACTGCTGCCAGGGCCTCAGCCACAGCCAGTGGGGGACACTGCACAGCTCAGCCCCTCTGGGGACAAATGCACCACACTGGGTATAGTACTTGTGGTCGCTGCTTCGATTTTAAGGCCAGCTGCCCATTGAGGGGGTGATGGGTAACAGGGCAGAGGAGAGAAAGGACCTCAGGCCAAGGCCCCGGGGAGGCACCCGCTGCCCTGCGTGTGGCTGGTGCAGCCAAGGACTCACAGGCCGTGTATTTGCCCGGCTCGTCAGTTTTCTCCAGGGTGATGTTTAAGTTGTGACACCGGCCTCTAGCCCTGGAAAACAGAGGCTGTGTGGGTCCCACAGGTGCCGCCCTGCTCAAGGCAGCCACCTTTGGGCCCTGTGAGTGGCCTGGTCTAGGAGGAGCCCTGAGAGGATCGGTCTCACTACCCCTCAAGTCCACACTCCCGCTGGGTCCTCCTGTCCCACAGGGCAGCCCCAGGGTCATGCGGTGTCCATACTTCTGCTCACCGCAGAGGGAACCTGGGCCGTGTGCTCTGCGGACATCATCTGCAGCCACCCACCAGCCAGTGCCCCAGCGTCACCCCGCCCAGTCCTCTCAGCTGCCCTCTGTCACTGAAGACACGCAGGGGCCCCACATCCACTGTCACCTGCACCACGGAGGGGAAACCTCAGCTGGGGGATTTAGGGCAAAAGCAAGCTCTAGGGTCCTCGCCAAGGTCACTGGCTGCCTAGGGCTCGTTCCCAGGGTGGGAGTGCAAACAGAGAGACAGACAAACAGACAGACAGACGTGTCACCCGGGCAGGAGCCATGCAGGCGGGAGCTTCACAGATGTGAGAGGAGAGGTAAAACCGCGAACTGTGCAGGTCTGAGCTGCACGGGAGGGAGCCGGAGAGAGGTGGAAGCTGCGAGCAGGGGCTGCACAGGCCCGAGCCATGCAGGTGGGAATAAACACAGGTGTGAGCCGCACAGGGAGCATGAGGGTGGAATTCACCCAGGTGGGGGATCCCCCGCCTGGCAATGCAGATCCCTTCCCTGCCAGTCTCCACAGCAGAAATTTCCTAGGAGGGTTTCAGTCGGGAGTCTGGGGGACACCCAGCTCCCCCATCAGCTGAGACTGCATGGCAGACAGCGGTTCCCCTCAGAGGACAGATGACCCACGAGGTCTGCTGGGGTCCCTCCTTTCCCTGGGGCCCCTCCCAGCGGCACAGTGACGCGAAGGCCCCAGGGGCTGAGAAGGTTCCCCAGTGCGGTCTCCTCCTCCAGCGCCCAGCTGTCCTGTGCAGAGAAGGGAAAGCCAGGGGTGGCGGCCGCCCACACACTCACAGCATAGTGAGCTTGAGCTCCACGTTGCCCCCCTCCAGGATCTTGATGGTCATGGGGGTCACAGACACAGATGTTTTGGCAGGAAACGGCTTGTCAGTGGCCACAGCCTTCAGGTACCAGGTCTCTGATACCTGGAGAAGACTGCTCTGTCAGCCTCTGGGGAGCCCTCCAGGACCCCTGCTCCCCATGCCCACAGCTGGCAGACCCCACCTAGCTCCCCAAGATAGGGACCCAGAGTGCCCCCACTGCTGTCACCAGGCCCTCAGGGCGCTAGCTCACCACTCCAGGAGAAGTGAAGTGCGGGTCCACCTCCCAGCCGCCCTTTGCACCCCAGACCCTGTGGCCTCCTGCTATCCAAGGTTCCTTCCGCTTGCCCATCGGGCCTCACAGTCTGGGTCTCCTCCTGTTCGACCGGGAGGTCCTCGGCCTGCAGGCTGGCAATGAGGACGAGGCTGATGGTCAGGATCAAGGTCTTCATCTTGGAGTCTGCACTGTCCGCGTCCAGCAGCTCACTCACCGGCCGGGGAAGCTCTGTGGGGTCCTTCCTTGGTTGCCCTTTATACAGCTTGGTGTGGGGGCCCAGGGAACTTGGCAGGGAGAATGACAGGTCCCTTCCTGGCCGGACACTGGGCCAGCTCTGCAGTGGAGCCAGAAAGTGTCATGCTCCAGACGATGACAGGCAGAAGATGACAGGCCGGGGCCAGCATCCAGAGGGGTGGCCTGCAGAGCTCCCAGGAGGGAGTGCAGGCCCAGAGGTGCAGCCACCTATGTGTGGAGCCCCAGGACGTGTGTGGAGACAGCAGACCCCTTAGGCCATGGCACCTGAGGGTGCCCTGCCACAGGGGTCCTATGGGAGTCAGAGAGCCCTGGGCTCTGGTCTCAGGGACCTTCTTGCGTCCCTGGGCAGGACACGTAAGCTCAGATTCATCCTGGAGGAGAGAGACACGCAGAGTAGACCCGGGAATGTGGGTCCCCTGAGGCCAGGGCGTGCCTGGGGCCCTGTTCTCGAGGGCTCAGATACAGGGAAGTCAGGTGGACTGGGGGTGCACAGATACTACACACACATGTGCACACACTCACACATACACATGCACACGTGTGTGCATCAGATCAGCAATGGGGACAGAGCAGATCTTCAGGGCTCCAGTCATGGCCTGTTGGCCCCAGACCCCAAGGCCATCAGAAGGACGGGGACTCATTTCCTGGGAACCGATCACGCTTCCTGGGCTCCCTCACCCCAGAGAGGAGGCCAAGTATTCTCCCTGCCCCATCTCATGTGCCGGGGTGTTATAAATTAATTGGGGGCCGCACCTCTGTGCAGGCCTGGGAAGGGAGAGGTCAGAGATGACTTCCAGGGCAGCAGCCATCCCGACAGGTGACTTTGCCTGCGACACCTCATTCCTGCCTGTAGTGAAGTTGAGGCAAATACCATGTGCTCAGCCATCTGGCTAGGATGGAAGGGAGGTTCCACTTCCATTCCTGTGGTGGGGACCAGAAAGCTGGGGCCTGCAGGACTCTAGGATAAACATCCTTCAGGAAAGGGTTTTCATGCCCAGTTGTTTCGAATTTCACAGCTGCCCTCTAACCTGTCCCACTGCTGCCTGGCCCTGGCACTTGAGCTCCTGATCTTCACCCCAGCGATGGCAAGTGCTCCAGGCCAGAGCTTGCCCACTGTGTGCACACGTGTGTGAAGTCCTCTGTGCGCATGGCCTGGGTGTGCCATTGGCCCAGCACCTATAAGCAGTGAGGCCTCTCTGTCTGTGTCTCTCCTGATCGCTGAGCGGGCTCTCTCCAGCGTAAGGGACGACATAGGAACAGATGCCACCAAAATACACGCATGGCAGCTATTACTTTGTAAAGTTAACAGGCACTGGTAAAATATATTTTAAAAAAGAAACAGGGAATGTGGGCAGGATGTCGCCGGTGGTACAGATCTTGTGTAGCATGCATGAGCCCCTAGGTTTGATCCCCAGTGTTACAAAAACAAAACAAAAACCCACAAGCACAGAGGCAGTCTCCATCTGTGTCCAGAAATAAGATGGGACCAAGAAGACCCATCTCGTGCAGCAGCTCCCAGAAGCAGGAGGAACCCAGCGCCCAGAGAGGCGGCCAGCAGCTCCTGTGGGGACGTGATGGGTGCCGGGGAGAAAAACATCGGTGAAGGCTGAGGAGAAGCCGGACAGCCCCGCACCCCCCAGCGGTGGGGAGACAGAGCTCCCCACGGTAACTACCCCGCAGACCAGGACACGCACCCCGCACGGTGATGGTGACTACAGACACCCAGGACACTGCCAAAACGCTCCATCAAATGCCAGAAAGGAGGGACATGGACCCCACCCAAGGAAGGGGGCAGATGGCAGCAGATTCCTAACAGCAGCCCAAGTCCAGCGGACTCTTTAACAGAGCGAGGGGGTGTCACAGCCGCGCCGGGACAGTGTGCTCAGCTTAACGCACATAAGGTGTTGAGGGGAAATGAGGGCATCACAGAGGCTGGGGGAACTGGGGGCAAGCCTTCCTCTCGCCGACTTCACCCAGGGTGGACTTCGGGGCCTCCCGCTGGCCCTAGGGAAGCCTGGGGTATGGGCACCAGCGATGGAGACTGCACTTCATAAAGCAGGTGGGCAGAATCAACCCTGCCATATTTTAAACCGAGGATGCAGGAGGGCTCCATCCTAGTGGACACTGAAAGTGCCGGCGGCTTCCAGAACAAGCCTGTCCCCATTGCAGAGTCCCTACAAACTGCACGTGGCAGGCGCAGGAGCACAGTGATCTGTAGGGAATGGGAGTGTGCCTGCAGGGGCAGGATCGGTAAATAATCCTAAATAAATCCTAAATAAGTGATAAATAAGTCACTTTCTAGTGAAAGTGTCAGGAGAAGAGAGCTCGCACAGAAATAACCTCGGCAGCAGTCGGCCTTTGGGAAACTGAGGGCACGCCAAGAATGACTGCAGTGCCAGGAGAGAGGGTCGTGGCCATCTCAGGCTTTTGGATGGGATCTTAATCTACTTTTTCTTTTTCTTTCTTTCTTTTCTTTTCTTTTCTTTTCTTTTTTTTTTTTTTTTTTTTTTTTTTTTTTGTACCTGGAATCAAACTCAGGACCTCGCTTTTGCCAAGCAGGTGCTGTATTTCTGACCCTTAAGTTACTTTTTCACTGATGGACAAAATGCCTGACAGCCACAAGTTACAGGAGGAAAGGTTTATTTCTACTCAGAGTTTAAAAGGTTGCAGTCCAGGGCTGGCTAGTTCCAAGGCAAGGCAGCACGGCTGAGGGACCTGGCAGAGGACAAACAGTCCATGGCAGGGCAGGCAGGAGGCAGCCAGACAGTGAAGAAAGCCTCCCTTTCCCTTTTCACTCTTTTTAAAATATTTTTAGTACCAGGAATCAAACTCAGGACCTTGCTCTTGCCAGGCAGGCATTTATACCACTGAGCTATGTCCTCCGCCCCTCTCCCTTTGCCTTTTATCCCAGCCAGGTTTTAAGTCTCTTGGGTGGTGCCACCCAGGCCCAGAGTGGGACTTCTGTATTCGGTGAATCACTCCATCACACCAGAACTGTGCTATTCCAATCAGTGGACTACTTTAGTACCACACACCCTGAATCCCAGTATCACACACCCCAGATCCAGCCAGCTCTGAAAACCACCACAAATAAGCAAATGAGGCTTGGGGCAAGATGTCTAGACAGACTTAACAGATGGTGAGCATACAACTGGGACTGATCATGGGACAAAAACCTACACAAACCCCACAAGGGCATCTAGGTGGGCAGCAGCCCGCCTAACGCACCCCAAAGGCTGGGATAAAGCCGGGTTTCAGCCCTACAGAGGGAAACCCGCACCATCCTTCTGCAGCACTTACAGGAAATCATGTAAAATCGGTTTCCTAGAAAGCAGAGATCAGGGCTGGCAGCCAAAAGATACAAGGACAATTTTTACACAGCTATGCAAGGAAGTAACTAACCAAATTTATGTTTTTTTCTGTTAAATGGTAACCTTTATTGTAATTGTCAGATTTTTTGTTGCCAGCTTTTTTATCATGTGAATTTCATGATTTTCCTCTATACAAAATATTTTTCATATCAACTTTGGATTCTTAATTATTATCATTTTCTAAAGAGTCTTCTGAAATTTACAGATGTTTGTAGCCCCATGACATTCATCTAGCCCTGGTTATGTCTTTGGTTTAACTTCCGTTTAAAGTAGGCTGAATCAAGTACATGAACTGGATTTTCCAAAGCTGGAGTGGGCATCCAGGTTCTGCTCATTCCCAGAACTGGGTGCCACGATTTGGAAATGGGGGTCATGGAAAGTGTGCGGACTGCTGGCCCCGTGTGTGCATTTACATGGGACAGGGAGGCCAGGTGCACGGCCTCGGTTCCATGTGTCACTTTCATGTTTTCCAGTGGCATTGAAAACCCAATGCCCCAAAGCAACAGAGGATGGCAGGGGATGGGGACCCTCAGGTGGGGCCATGGGCAGAACCTGCCCCACCACCTTCTATGGGGCAGCTCTCTGTAGGGACTGTCCTTCCCTGGGGCCTGAGGGACCTCGGCCAACTGCAGCTCCAGGAAAGCCAAGCTGACAGGTGCCTGGATCCCACAGGGCTTGAGGAGCAGGGCAGCCTGTGGGCCATGACTGACCACCCAAGAGACAGGGTGTGTGCGTGTATCTCTGGTGCAGAGCTGTCCCCTCCACGTCCTCGGGGTGCCGAGGTCAGGGGAGACATCCTGACTTGCTAAGGATGAGTCACGCATATGCCCAGGGGAGAGGTCCCTGCTCCTGCTTGGCCACGGAGCTCTTGTATTAACGCAGCCTTTAAGCAGCAGGCAGGAATCGTGAGCCTTTAGCGCCTGGGTGCTGCTCACCTACCATCCTATCGCCCCACGTGGTCACGGCCTGAACAGTGTCCTCCCTCTTTCAAGCTGAGCCTTGCGAGGTGCAGCCACAGGGTCTCTAGCTGTGACCAAGGGAGGCTGAGGGTAGTGTTCAGAGACCTTGCAGACGTTGGCTCTGCCCCTCTGCATCGGCAGGTGCATCAGACCCGGGCCTCATCCCCAGACTCTGGAGCCACTCTGTGTCACTGTCCTCACTGTGTGTCCTGCTCCAGCTCTCCCCAGAGGGCTCCAGGAGCTGACCCGAGATCTCCGCTGCCTGGGCCTGCGTGGTCCTGTGAGCCTCTCTGTTCCTCGGGTTGGGGGCCCAGAGCCCAGCACAATCGCTTTCCTGGCAGGACGGTCCCTGACTTCCTGGTCTACAGGGCCTCTTGGCTGGGGCTGTCACAACTGTCCCTGGCATCCCCGTCATAGGTCCTGGTGGCTGTCCTGAGGAGTGACAGCTGTGGGGACTACACAGGTCCACATCTCCCACACAGGGCTCCTTGTCCTCCAGGTCCATCCTGGCAAAAGCCGCTGGTCCGGAGCCGGGTGTGGCCAGGAGGCTGGAGTGCACTTGTTTGCAGAGTGGCTCGAATGCAGGGAGG